ATTGAATGACACCTGAGTATAAGTATAGGATCTTTTACAAAATAGTAAGAAACAGGAAAAAAAGATATAGCAAAGTTATTGATTCTTGATTGTACTGCAAAGCAAATATGGCAGCAATGAGAACAGCAGGGCAGAGGGGTGAATTATTTTAGAATCTGAATGACAGCTAGCAAATATGATGCCCCCCAGAGGCCTCAAGAGGTTGAAATAAGCTTGAAAACTGAGCCGCTCTCATAGTTACTAAGCCACGTATAGATGCGTTGTAAAAGCAAAAAGACAATAAGTAAAGCTAGTCCAGTGATATCGATTCAAAAGGCAAAAGCAATTCTATGAAACAAAGCTGTCTATGTTTTGCCCTTATTTACAACATTCATTAAGCCAATTTATTGCAAATTGCATCTTGGATAGGAACTGCTGTGTTCTTACAACCTGACATTGCCAGGCGAGAGACGCACAGAGAGAACAGCAGATTTTCTATTGCTTGTGCTGGAAGAGGGTGCCCAGACATGTCTCCCAATAGGTAGGAACAACGATGCTTTAAGTGCCAAGTGCCACAAAGCCACTTGTCAATCTTGTCCCCTCTGCCACCCACAGCCCTCATGACCCCTACTGATACAGTGTCTGATTGCACTTGTTGACGTGTGACTGATGTCCTGCCTTGGAAACACCTCCTCTTGGCTCCACAGGATACTCTATAGTCTACCTGGAAGTCTGCTGCTATGAAGGAAAGGAACATCAAATGGGGCTCTCTGGTACTGATCAGACAAAATCCGGCAGTACAGAAATCCTTTATGCCATCCTGGTTTCAAATTCCAAGGTTTAAAGCTCTGAGATGAAGATGTTCTTTACTTCTTCAGGCTTTACTTCACGAAGGGTCTGCTTCTCCAAGTAAGAGACCAAAAGTGCAGGTTTTGCGATTCCTACTGCATTGCAAGAAGCCAGGGGTGCAGCACACAGGGAAGTTGTAGAGCATGAGGTACGAAAAAAATACTCAAGATGAGAAAGTAAGGAAAAAAAAAAGGGGGTCACCAAAGAGGGACTGTATAAAATCAACTGTCTGAGCCTCTTCCTCACTGGGCAGAATACAGAATACATTTAATCACATCATAAGCCAATAAATGAAACAGGCAAGGAAAACCTGTGATTGTGAATGAGAAATTCCTGCACTGCTGTGAACTATTGAATCAGCTATTGAGCAGGGAAACACTCCTTTTCTCCTCTGCACTCTTACTCTTATATTCACTGACAGATTCAAAGGTTGGAAAGAACAGTAAATTCACAAGGTCTAAGGGCCTCTATGACAGTCCGTGTACCGAGTTCGCCTGCCTGAAGCATATCTGAGAAACAGGGATGGCACCTTCTGCTGCAACAACTTCCAAGAAAAGGGCATGGAGCAGTCAAGTAGTCTTTGGCTAAACAGATTGAGATGATTAAGTTGTCATTGGAAAGCATATTTTCCAGTCTTTGAGTACATTTAGTACTTTTCCCCAAGTCTGTAAACCGTTTTTTCCCCTATCAAAAAAAATGCCTAAGACTTAGGAATCCAACAGTCTGGATGGTCACTTTGTGCATTTTTGCACAAGCGTGTGCAAAAATGTCCAAATGAGTCACAAAAGACAGAGGACACAGAAGATCCGTGCAGGCTAAGACATCCTGACACTAGACAAAGACACTGTTAAAGGAGGGACATCTTTAGGACTGCTCTGTTATTCTGTCTTTTTAAGATGTTTATTGATGTTGAACTGTAACAACAAAAAGAGCAGCTGCAACGCTCTTACTATATGAGTAATGTGACCCAAAAGTTTCTGGGCTATTTTCCTGAGATGGCAACACACAACCATACAGACTTAAGTCCCCAGGTGTTTCTGTACGTCCTCTGTAGATGCTCTTCTCTCTCTCCAGACAAAACTGCCCCAAGGGAGAAGTGACATCCTTATGAAAGTGTCCTCGCAAAGCAGAAGCCAGGGCTCAGAGTGCTCCAGAACACCTGGTCTCTCTGCATGCACTGAGGCAGGAGGACACCACCGCCGCTCGAAAAACTTATTGGAAAAGGTACTTTTAACTTTTCAAGCCTCATAAAATGATTTTTCTGATGGCAGGAATGGGCTAGTCTGCCAAAGTCATGTCTGACTCATGAAAAATTTAAAAAGTGTTTTTTTTGTCCTCATGAGAAGAATCATTAATTCAGCATAAGCATTGCAGAAGTATCTATAGGAAAAAAAAAATGGAGCCTATATATTGGTGTTCAGCTAGATAATATTGACATAATTTCTTTCCTTTAGCTCACTGAGTAGTAACTTTCAGATTTCACGGCTGCACTCACGACAGCTAAAGAAACCTAGCCTGGACATCATCCAAACAGGGCATAAGCCATTTCAGCAGTATGGTTGGTGAGGTTTCTTTTGACTCCTTATTGATTCAGCACAGAACAAACTCTTGGGTAACAGGTTAAGTGGAAGTTCTGGCCAATCATTAGTAAAGCTGGGCTTTTATTTAGCTATGTGTCCTGGCACAATTCAGAGTATTTTGTAACCCATTCCCTAACTAGCTTTTTTCTCTTTATTTTCTCTGAACTGTCATGTAGAGCATAATGTTATACATTAAAACCCAGCTGTTCTCTATCTCCCAAAAGTATGTAAGGCAATTTTACATGAAATAGTTTGTTAAGGTAGTTGAAACTTTAAATCCACTGATATTTTAAAATCCATTTGCGCTGCAATTCAGAATAGAAAAAATGTTCTCCATAGACACAGAAATTCTGAAAACGTTCCTTTTCTGAAATCTTCAAAATGTAAATGTGAAATCTGTGGCACAGCATTTGGGGTCAATCTAGATTAAGAATAGTTTATAATGATCAGAAACCGTACTTGTTCCAATATGATTCAACATAGTTTTTGCCTGTACTTGTACTGCTGGAAAGTAACTTATGTTTTAGAAGTGCAGTAATTAGTTTCCCAACTGATGATAAAAAGTAGAGCATTATATTTTTCCTAGGGCTTTCATTAGGATCTCTAGGTTCACTTCCCTCAACACATGGATTGGTTAACAGAAGATTAACTCTCATTTTCCAATGTACTTTTGTTATTAGAATATTCTGGTTCTCTGAAATTATCTGCTTAAGGGATTTAAATTAAAATGTGTCTAGATTTAGCTAACTGCTGATAAGATTTGTGACTTCTAGGGGCTGAGAATATTTAAGTATATATAACCCAAATTTTATTATACTATAAATTACCATGAGGGATCACATTTTCAAATCAGAGTAACATAACCAAAATTACTGGGGTTACTCTAGGTTTAAATAAGCAGGACAGATCACCATCTGGATCTGTAGCCAGTGTCTCTTGTATAAAAGAGGGGTGAAAACATGTATAGAATTAATATAGGCATATATTTAAGATATATAAAGATCATAAGCGCATCCATACTGTATCATCTAAAGGTCCATCTCACTGATATCTTGCTCTATTCAGCACTGTGCAGTAGCTGATTGCCTGAGGAAGAATGAAAGTGTAGAAAAGTATTTAGAGATATTTCTCCTAGCTTTAATTTCATCCTAGCTCATGATTTTTCTCACCCAGAAAAGGTGAGCTGGTACTTGATAGTCTTCAATAGATTTTTCTTTCATGGATTTATCCAACCCTTTTTTGCACCCAAGTTTTGGCGTTCACAAAGTCATGTGGTAAAGGAGTTCCACAGCTGAAGCACATGTTCTGTGACAAAATATCTTTCTATGTTTGTTTTGAACCAACCCCTGCTAGCTACATTTGCAGTACAATTTAGAAAGAAGGTACAGAAGAGGGCAATCAGTCCTGAGATGGAAGGACAGCATTATCTAGTAACACTGAACTCTTGTAAAATGAAGCAAGAAACAAAAGCTATCAATCCTTCAGGCTTTCTCTATGCTAGTTTCAGAGGATAATTCAGACTAAGAAATTTCTGCTAAAATTATCCAAAAGGTCCTAGTGACTCTTAGTATAATGCAGCATTTACTAGGTACTTGGCTGATATCCCACATGCATTATGCAGGTCTCCATGAGGGACATGACAGTTCTCTAAACCAGAAGTCGTCCTGCCTGATGTCTGCAGGAGACTCTCGTTAATACTCTTGGACTCTTGCTTTATCACTCAAAAAATCCTGCTATTGCAGCAGACAGACAAACCTGGAAGGCCAGAGCCCTTTGGATGGTAGAAATTCTATCAATTTGGTAGTTTGTCCCTGAATAATGGCCTTCCAGCCTTCTGAGGAAGCAGATACTCGGAGATGTTTTGTATTAGACAGATTAAGGATGAAATAACTTATTTGATTCATTCTACCAGAGCAACAAGGAAAGAAAAAATTTTTTGTCATAAGCTTTCCTTCTGAGGCAAATTCTTTATAAAGAAAATATACTCTAGTTAAGAATTCACCAATGAGGTTAAACTGCTTTGATGCCTCAGCTAGCTTAGGAAGCATCTCCCTGCTACAGACTGCTATCCCTTTCGAGGGTGGATTCAGAGCAAAGTCTGTCAGAAACACATTTTTATTCCATCCATACTGCAATCTCCAGTTGCTCATCTTCCTGCTCCTCTGGAGGGCTTGGCTCCAGGTTTGCTGGGGGTGCACTTTGGATTATCTCTGTATTTTAGGACGATGAATTGCCCCTCCTGCCCCTGCTTGTCAGGCAGGGGTCTTTAATCCCACTTCCTCCCCTCTAATTTACATGGACGTAGGATTCTTTAATCAGCGTTTCTGTGAGTCCACATGAAAAACAAACACAACACAAACAGCAGGGGAATGGGTAAGGAAATGTTTAGACTGAGTAACACCTCGGCATACACTTTAAGGATCCACCAAGGATGCTACTTCTGAGCTGATATACCCTTTAAAGAAAACTGTTTTCATAGGTCAGACTTGAACCTGCAAACTCAGATACATTTTTCTTATCATTATCAGCTTCCTGAGCTATCTCCCAACTTTCTTATGGAGTATGATAAAAGACTTAGTTAAAGGTTTTTACCTGCGGAAACCGTAGCCAGATCAGTGTTTGACTGAGACTGCGATGATTATGACAACAAACAGCAGAACGGTCAAAGCGACAGCGAGAAGGCAGCACTTCATCTTCCTGGCTCGTTGCTAAAAGAGGAGAAAGGAATAGAAATAAATATATGGACAGTTGAATGGGAAGATGGAGGGTAAATCCGTGAAGAAATATTGCTAATTTTCCGTTGCTGGGAAAACAGGTCAATACAACACAGAAAACTTGCCTCTTTTTTTTGGACTGGGCCAATCCCTCTGAACTACCTATGTGCAACTTTTTCAATCCCCCTTAAACATAATCACCTTCCCTGCACAATTTTCTTCTTACTGAAATCATTGCCTGTGTCACGCTAAACCTGCAGACTACACTTGAAGACTTGGGCTTGAGTAAAGCTGTTCAGTTTGGTTTTTGCTCAGGAATGAGGCAGGCAGCTTACAGGATAGACAAATGTACCTCCAGCATTTGATTTCATTCAGATTGAGATATGGTAACAGAGATTCCACAGGGTTTTAATTTCGATATCTGTTTCTAGTTAGACCCATCAGCCTTCCCAGTGATCTCCATAGCCAAAATGTTGTTTGTTCCCAGTTAAAATCTTCTGCAAGCCGTTCAAGTCCTCTCTCTCTCTCTCTCTCTCTCTCTCTCCTTCAGGTGGATTAGAGAAAGGATACTTCCATGACCCCATGGTCCCAGCAATCCTCCTACCCAACACACAAAAAAAAGTAACTTCAGTGAAACACTGAGCAAGCTCACACATTCTCTGCCAGATTAACCAGTCCTCCAGCCATCAGCCTTGATAACATCATCCTGACCTAATAAACCAATTGCATTTACCCAGGGTTTTTACCTTTCTTACAACCGAAGCAGCACTCGGAGGAAAGACTATGTATTATTATTGCTGTTGTCCGTTTTTCCTTCCTTTCTTCCCCTAATCGGTGTAATTAGCCCTCCCACTCTGCCTCATGTTCTTTGTTCACTGGTTTTCACCTCCCTACACTGCATTATATTTCCCAAAACTTGCTTAAAAATATAATTTTATGGAGAAAACCGTAGTTCCCCAGCTAGTTTATTCTACAGATATTTTGGCCTCTTACACTACAACCAACAGGGGACTCATCTCCTCCATCAGTGCTCCCAAGCCCACTGCTTCATTCCCTTCTAACCCTCTCAAGGGCCCACCAGTTTTGTGGTACAGAGCTTGAGACGCGTTTAGAGCAAGGAAATCCCCAGTGCACAGTGCCTGGCCTGTCCAGGCTTTCACCAGCCTAACTGATGTTTTTCAAAGGGCAGATTTTCAGATTTATTTTATTTTTTTTAATAGATACAAGTGCTGGGTTGTCCTACCTCTTTTGCAGAAAACCAGTGATTCATCTCAGTTCCACACATGCTTTTCAATTACTTGAACACAAATGTTTTCTTTGGGCTTGGGAAAAAAGTAAATGCCTTAAATATATCATTCCATGTTTACGCTTTGAGAAGGATCTTTCAGGTATGTAAGGAAGGTGTGTGCATGTGTGTGCAGGAGGATTCTCCCCCTCCCCACAAATTCTGCTTGGAGGCATCCATTTGATCACACTTTCCCATTGTGACTGTTTTGGGGAGAATATGGATGGACCAGGGCTCTCTCTGTCTCTCTTTAATAGACTTTTTCACCCACTAAATGATGTTTCTTTTCAGTGGCTCTGTGCCTGCAACCTTCATTTCTCTGTGAGTAACATAGTCAAATGCAGGCTGAAAAGCTGAGTGCATGAGCCTTCTAGGGTGTCCTATTTTCTTTTAACTTTGATTAACTCCAAGTCACACCAGGAGACCTCTGCCTAGAACTTCAAACTCTCTTAAAACACCTGGATGTACTTGCCCACTTCTAAAACGTCAGAGCCTTTGTTCTGGCAGTAGATGATGCTAAGGGGTCATTTAGTTTCCATTCTCAAATATTCCTAAGGAGCTTTTCAAAGGCTACACAGTATCACTTAGGATGGCTTTTCCATCAGCCTTTTTACAGAGAGTTTCCTTGTTTTGCTCTTCCTAGCACTGCAAAGTCCAAATCACCTTTACTTTGCACCTTAAATAGTCCTTTACCAGTGTAAAGCAAGCATAAAACTCAGTCATAAATATAGAGGGTAAAAGAGATTAGGCCAAACTGTATTCTGGTATTTGGTTCACATTTTATGACCTCTGTCCTAGCTGGTAAGTCAGCATAATAGTTCCTGCTCTGTTTGAAATATCTCTTAGGGGATTTAGCATTGCTGTCCTTCACAGTCATATAATCTGTGACAAAATTCTCCTGTTAATTCCTAGTTCTTTATATTTTAATAGGGGAAATGTTCAGTTCTTTGAGACCCTCTAGTCTGCAGTCATAAAATTTTACATGCCGGAGGATACCTAGAGCAGCAGGACACAGCTTTTGAGCAGTGCCTAATCACACAGCCTCTTCTGGGCACACTGAGGAAGGGTGGCCATCTGCCCCAGCTGCTCTTTGTCACTTCGATGGAAAAGTACCATCGAATGGGCAAAAGGCAATGGTTCCCCTCAAGGTACAGATGCACATCTCAACACACAAACAGCTATGCAATATGACCCAACCCTCATGGACACACCTGCCATGTAAACCAGCCCTGTCCTGTGGAGACTCCTATATTTTGGTGGACACATATTTGTTTGTGGATAGCCCTTATGAAAGATGAAAGGAAACTAGCTGGGAGTCTGACGGCCAAAACTGTTCACACGGCTCTCGGAGCCCATTCCCTGCCCTTATCAGTGGTGAAAGATAGAGCAGGCTGTATAGACTGATAGTTCACTAGATGAGATCGGCAGACCATACTACGGGCAGCCTCACCTGAGCATTACCTAAATATACAATAACTATACATCATCAGCACTACACATAATGCTATTATGTATAACATTCTCTGGTTATTGTCTATGGTTTAGGTTAACAGAATGTGATTGCCAACCTGAGGTGACAACCAGGGCCCTAAAGCCCCTGGAGGGAAGTGAGGAGAATAAAAACATTGCAAAGTTACGTTTTCAATAACCCCAAGACATCGAGCCTCTGGATTTAAAGTCAAATGATGGTACCTTGAGTTGGGCAATGTGTGCTCTGCTGTGAAATGCTCTTTGGTTCAACATCTACCTGAAGAGAAGATTACCATTTGCAGAAAAACTCCCTCTGTTGTCCGGTACCTTTAGCACTGACCAGTACTGACCCGATTCAACATGTGACATGAAAGGCTGGAGCGATTTAAGGCAGAAAACTGTTTCTGGAAAGAGCTGAACTCAGTGTTATTAAGACCAATCAGTCATGATTCAAATGAAGAGCTGTTAGCTTTTCCATCATATTGATGAAAAGCTCTTGGTACCTTTGCTGAATCGGTGTAGCTCCAGCCAGCTCAGATGTCCATTGACTGATGGTTTCCTACCTTTTTGCCCTTTTCACTCCTTATTTTGGAGATTTTCAGGGAAAGGAAATTTGGGAAGAATGTTCTTAGCATTTGGTTTAATTGAACCTCCTGCAGAGCAGCCAACACTACTAGATGATAGGAGACAGACCTGGAAGGAACCCATCTCTTACTGCTTCCCTTTGTCTCAAGAATCTCTACTAATATCATTTCTGACAGAGGTCTGCCTAACTTGCTGTTAGAAACCATCAGTAATGTAGAAAAGGACCAGGGTTTATGAGGGAAAAAGGATAAAAAAGAAATAATTAAAAAAAAAATCACCGTGAGGGTAGTTAAACTTTCAAACAGGAGTCCAGAGAAGCTGTGGAATATCCATCCTTGAAGACGTTCAAAACTAGGCTGGACAAGGAGCAACCTAATCTAATTGACCTTGCTTTGAGGGAGAGGTTGGACAAAGACCTTCAGAGGTCACTTCCAACCTACATCATTTTATGATTCTACAATTATGATCCCTTGAATCAAGGTCAATCTGCTCTTATGTGGAAGTGGCAATTCATTTCTAAATTTATAGTCAGACCATTTCTCCCCACGGCAAGTTCCTTACTGCCTTGAGACAGCTACCAGGTTTCTACCTCAGCATTAGTGATGTAGCACTCCAGCCACAGAAAGATGAAGGAAAAAAAAACTGTAAAATGTATCATTTATTTTAGGACATAATTTTTTAGGGAACTTTTCATTTTTGCAACATTTCCTATGTTTTAGACTAAACACCAGTGCCTGGTGAACAGGGTCTGGTGAACACCAGTTTCACTCCTCTTTTTCCAGCTCTTCCTTCCCTCAATTACTGGAAATCTTTCTTTTTCACTGTCTGCAACAATGCAATTTCTTATTCTCCTCTACTTTGCTAGGCTCCAGCAGGGGAAGCACTGAGGATATGGCATTGTGGTCTCATCTCGGCTCATATTGCCCAATGCAACCTGAGCTAGTGACTCCTTAAGGAAGCAATTGTAAGATAATTTTACCCAGTCTCCGCTTTTGCGGTTGAAACATATTTACCTGCTTACTGAGATAAGACACGCATAGGGCTACTAGCACAATAGAGGTATCAAGAGAGTTTGTTCTTGGCATAAACTGAATATCCAGGTGTTTCCCCCCAATTTCTAAGACATATCAATTAAAATTGAGAGAACAGCTTTTGCAGAGACATGTAGATTTCACTATAAGTTCCCGAAGATGACAAAAAGCAAAGGTGCTTCCTCCATTCTTTTCCCTACCTGGGAAGTATGGATGTTCTACTAGAAAATGTATGAGAAATTTATTCATTTTAATTACATTAGCATATTAATGTTAATTATATTAGCATATTCTGAACCTTGGCTGATGTACTGTTGCACTGCACTGATCGAGTTCTGTAGCTCTGCCCTGTACTGTTGTAAGCTCATTTCCCATAATATTTAAAATTCTTTGATTAAACTGGAGCCAATCTATTTTCATTTCACACATTTGTCCAAGATTGAAAAAGAAAAAAGAAAAAAAGTAATGTGGGAAAAAATAAATAAATGAGAATCTACAGGAAGAAGTAATTTTTTTTGCAGTTATTTTTGCTAGGCTCTCAGGTTTTACTAGTAACACACTATAGGTAAAGACATTTTTTAATCCTGACAGAGGCTCTTTAAACACGCATGTGAAATAGCGAG